AAATAGGAATGGAATGGAAATAGAAATAGAAATAGAAATAGAAATAGAAATAGAAATAGAAATAGAATAGAATAGAATAGAATAGAATAGAATAGAATAGAATAGAATAGAATAGAATAGAATAATATACTGTGGAATAGAATGGAATGGAAATAGAAATAGAAATAGAAATAGAAATAGGAATGGAAATAGAAATAGAAATAGAAAAGGAATGGAATGGAATAGAATAGAATAGAATAGAATAGAATAGAATAGAATAGAATAATATACTGTGGAATAGAATGGAATGGAAATAGAAATAGAAATAGAAATAGGAATGGAATGGAATGGAATAGAATAGAATAGAATAGAATAGAATAGAATAGAATAGTATACTGTGGAATAGAATGGAATGGAAATAGAAATAGAAATAGAAATAGAAATAGAAATAGGAATGGAATGGAAATAGAAATAGAAATAGAAATAGAAATAGAAATGGAATAGAATAGAATAGAATAGAATAGAATAGAATAATATACTGTGGAATAGAATGGAATGGAAATAGAAATAGAAATAGAAATAGAAATAGAAATAGAAATAGAAATGGAAATGGAAATAGAAATAGAAATGGAATGGAATGGAATAGAATAGAATAGAATAGAATAGAATAGAATAATATACTGTGGAATAGAATGGAATGGAAATAGAAATAGAAATAGAAATAGAAATAGGAATGGAATGGAAATAGAAATAGAAATAGAAATAGAAATGGAATAGAATAGAATAGAATAGGATAGGATAGGATAGGATAGGATAGGATAGGATAGGATAGGATAGAGAATAGAATAGAATAGAATAGAATAGAATAGAATAGAATAGAATAGAATAGAATAGAATAATGAAAGAATAGAATAGCGAATAGAATAGAATAGAATAGAATAACAATAACAACAACAGCGACAACAACAACAACAACAACAACAATAATAATAATAATAATAATAATAAAGTTGGAAGGGACCCTGGAGGTCATCAAGTCCAACCCCCTGCTCAGGCAGGAAATCCTATACCATTTCAGACAAATGGCTGTCTGAATGAAACCCAAAATTTTCTTTTCCTAAGCAAGACAGTTATTTAGTGAGTTTGGCCCCGTTTTACGACCTTCCTTGCCATGGTTGTTAAGTGAATCATTGCGGTTAAGTTAGGAACACGGCTGGTAAGTAAATCTGGTTTCTTCCCCCCTGACTTTGTCAGAAGGTCGCAAAAGGGGATCACGTGACCCCAGGACACTGCGACCGTCATAAATATGAGTCCGTTGCCAGTTGCCAAGCAGCTGAATTTGGATCACCTGGGGAGGCCACAACGGTCGTAAGTGTGAAAAACAGCCATAGGTCACTTTTCTCAGTGTTATTTTAACTTTGAACTTTGAACCTTTAGATTAGATGATGATGATGATGATGATGATGATGATGATGATAATAATAATAATAATAATAATAATAATAATAATAATAATAATGATGATGATAATAATAATAATAATAATAATAATAGAGTTGGAAGGGGCCTTGGAGGTCTTCTAGTCCAACCTCCTGCTCAGGCAGGAAATAAAGTCCAAGCTTCAGCCTCTCTTCCCCTCGGCACCAGGTCTTCGCCTACATCCTCCGGCGGGAGATGAAGGAGCCGGAATGCCGTCATCTCTCTCGCAAATTCACCGAGTGGGCCTACGGACCCGTCCACTCCTCGCTTTACGACCTCTCCAGCATCGACACCTGCGAGAAGAACTCCGTCTTGGAGATCATCGCTTACAGCAGCGAAACCCCGGTGGGTCAAAGCTTTTGCCACTGGACACGGTCCCAAGGCGTTAGGACTGCGACTCCCAGAATCCCCCAGGCCTGGAATTCTGGAAAATTGGAGGTCCAACCTCTGGGGAAGGCCCCCCTGGGAAGCTTGGCCCGGGGATCCCGGGATTAGGGGCTGATTCAGGAGGTTCACCTGGTTTCCTTTCCCCTTTATTAGGCCATCATACTTGGAATGATTCAGGTATTCAGAGATTCAGAGATTCAGAGATTTCGATTTTGATTTGGATGATTCGGATTTGGATTTAGATGATCTAGATTTGGATTTGGATTTGGATTTGAATTTGGATGATTTAGATTTGGATTTGGATTTGGATTTAGATTTGGATTTAGTTGATTTAGATTTAGATTTGGATTTAGATTTGGATTTGAATTTAGATTTAGATTTGGATTTGGATTTGAATTTGGATGACAGATTTAGATTTGGATTTGGATTTGAATTTAGATTTAGATTTGGATGATTTAGATTTAGATTTGGATTTGAATTTGGATGATTTAGATTTAGATTTAGATTTAGATTTAGATTTAGATTTAGATTTAGATTTGGATTTGGATTTGGATTTGGATTTAGATTTGGATGATTTAGATTTAGATTTAGATTTGGATTTGAATTTGGATGATTTAGATTTAGATTTACATTTAGATTTGAATTTAGATTTGGATTTGGATTTGGATTTGGATTTGGATTTAGATTTGGATGATTTAGATTTGGATTTGGATTTGAATTTGGATGATTTAGATTGGATTTGGATTTGGATGATTTAGATTGGGATTTGGATTTGGATGATTTAGATTTGGATTTGGATTTAGATTTAGAATTGGATTTGGATTTGAATTTAGATTTAGATTTGGATTTGGATGATTTAGATTTGGATTTGAATTTGAATTTGGATGATTTAGATTGGATTTGGATTTGGATGATTTAGATTTGGATTTGGATTTAGATTTGGATTTGGATTTGGATTTAGATTTAGATGATTTAGATTTAGATTTATTAATTTTTTTCCTCCCTTCTCACTCTAAAAAGCAGGTTTTGGTTTGGGATTTGGGTTTTTTTGTTCATTTTTCTGAAGTAAGATGGGAAAGGAATGCTTGGATTTAAATATATAACTCTGAGCGCAACAAATAAATTTTATTTGCAAATGGGAGGGGGAAGTATTGATTTTAGTAATAGGCTGCCTTATAGATGTATTTATTAGATCGGCAGCCTGTCTCAATTCCAGCAAATGTCTTTGATAAGAAGTTAATAATCTTTATATTGGTACATTAATATACTGTAATATATTACATTCTCTATCATCAATCTGTTTGACAGCATCTGTCTGTCCATCCATCCATCCTTATATCCATCCATCTCCCTGTCTTTCCTTCCATCCATCTGTCTGTCCCATTCTCCCTCCCTCCCTCCACCCATCCATCCATCTGTCCCTTCATCCCTTCATCCCTTCATCCCCCCCTTCCTCATTGCCTCCCTCCCTCCCTCCCCCACTCCATCCATATATGCATCCATCTGTCCATCCATCCATCTGTCTGTCCATCCCTCCCTCCCTTCACCCATCCATCCATCCATCTGTTCCTCCATTCCTTCATCCCTCCCTCCCTCCCTCCCTCTATCCCTCCATCCCTCCATCCCTCCATCTCTATCT